CTAGTTCCTGGTCCCCTTCTCCTATTGGCCTCAGTTGCTTTTAAGGTATCTGCTTTAGTTTCTCTGCATTGAGGGCAACAAATGCTACCCTAATTTTTAGGTGTCTTACCTATCCTCACCCCTCCCTTGTGTGCTCTCGCTTTTATCATGTGCTCAAAGTCCAATCCCCTTGTTGTGTTTGCCCTTGATCTAATGTCTGCATATGAGGGAGAACATATGATTTTTGGTCTTTTGGGCCAGGCTAACCTCACTCAGAATGATGTTTTCCAATTTCATCCATTTATCAGTGAATGATAACATTTCGTTCTTCTTCATGGCTGCATAAAATTCCATTGTGTATAGATACCACATTTTCTTGAACCATTCGTCAGTAGTGGGGCATCTTGGCTGTTTCCATAACTTGGCTATTGTGAATAGTGCTGCAATAAACATGGGTGTGCAGGTGCCTCTGGAGTAACCTGTGTCACAGTCTTTTGGGTATATCCCCAAGAGTGGTATTGCTGGATCAAATGGTAGATCAATGTTTAGCTTTTTAAGTAGCCTCCAAATTTTTTTCCAGAGTGGTTGTACTAGTTTACATTCCCACCAACAGTGTAAGAGGGTTCCTTTTTCCCCGCATCCTCGCCAACACCTGTTGTTGGTGGTGTTGCTGATGATGGCTATTCTAACAGGGGTGAGGTGGAATCTTAGTGTGGTTTTAATTTGCATTTCCTTTATTGCTAGAGATGGTGAGCATTTTTTCATGTGTTTTTTGGCCATTTGAATTTCTTCTTTTGAGAAAGTTCTGTTTAGTTCACTTGCCCATTTCTTTGTTGGTTCATTAGTTTTGGGAGAATTTAGTTTTTTAAGTTCCCTATATATTCTGGTTATCAGTCCTTTGTCTGATGTGTAGCAAATATTTTCTCCCACTCTGTGGGTGTTCTCTTCAGTTTAGAGACCATTTCTTTTGATGAGCAGAAGCTTTTAGTTTTATGAAGTCCCATTTATCTAGGCTATCTCTTAGTTGCTGTGCTGCTGGGGTTCCATTGAGAAAGTCCTTACCTATACCTACTAACTCCAGAGTATTTCCTACTCTTTCCTGTATCAACTTTAGAGTTTGTGGTCTGATATTAAGATCCTTGATCCATTTTGAGTGAATGTTGGCATAGGGTGATATACATGGATCTAGTTTCAGTTTTTTGCAGGCTGCTAAACAGTTTTCCCAGCAGTTTTTGTGGAAGAGGCTGCTTTTTCTCCATCGTATATTTTTAGCTCCTTTGTCAAAGACAAGTTGGTTATAGTTGTGTGGCTTCATATCTGGGTCCTCTATTCTGTTCCACTGGTCTTCATGTCTGTTTTTGTGCCAGTACCATGCTGTTTTTATTGTTATTGCTTTGTAATATAGTTTGAAGTCAGGTATCGTGATACCTCCAGCATTGTTCTTTTGACTGAGTATTGCCTTGGCTATTCGTGGCCTCTTGTGTTTCCATATAAATTTCACGGTAGATTTTTCAATCTCTTTAATGAATGTCATTGGAATTTTGATGGGAATTGCATTAAACATGTAGATTACTTTTGGGAGTATCGACATTTTTACTATGTTGATTCTACCAATCCATGAGCATGGGAGATCTCTCCACTTTCTATAGTCTTCCTCAATCTCTTTCTTCAGAAGTTTATAGTTTTCCTTGTAGAGGTTTTCACATCTTTTGTTAGGTTTACACCTAGGTATTTGATTTTTTTTGAGGCTATTGTAAATGGAATTGTTTTCATATATTCTTTTTCAGTTTGTTCATTATTAGTGTATAGAAATGCTAATGATTTTTCTATGTTGATTTTATATCCTGCTACCTTGCTGTAGCTATTGATGATGTCTAGAAGCTTCTGAGTAGAGTTTTTTGGGTCTTTAAGGTATAGGATCATGTCGTCTGCAAATAGGGATATTTTGACAGTTTCTTTACCTATTTGTATTCCTTTTATTCCTTCTTCTTGCCTAATTGCTCTGGCTAGGAATTCCAGTACTATGTTGAATAGGAGTGGAGATAGTGGGCATCCTTGTCTGGTTCCTGATTTTAGAGGGAATGGTTTCAGTTTTTCTCCGTTAAGTATAATGCTGGCTGTAGGTTTGTCATATATAGCTTTTATAATGTTGAGGTACTTTCCTTCTATTCCTAGTTTTCTTAGAGCTTTTATCATGAAATGGTGTTGGATCTTATCAAAGGCTTTTTCTGCATCTATTGAGATGATCAAGTGGTTTTTGTCTTTGCTTCTGTTAATGTGGTTTATTACGTTTATTGATTTTCGTATGTTGAACCACCCCTGCATCCTGGGATGAAGCCTACTTGGTCTGGTGAATAATCTTTTTGATGTGTTGTTGAATTCGGTTTGCCATTATTTTGTTGAGGATTTTTGCATCAATGTTCATTAAGGAGATTGGCCTATAGTTCTCCTTTTTGGAGGTGTCTTTGCCTGGTTTTGGGATAAGTGTAATACTGGCTTCATAAAATGTGTTAGGCAGTTTTCCTTCCCTTTCTATTTCATGGAACAGTTTAAGGAGGGTTGGTATCAGTTCTTCTTTAAAGGTCTGATAGAATTCAGCAGAGAATCCATCAGGTCCTGGACTTTTCTTTTTGGGGAGACTCTTGATTGCTGCTTCAATTTCATTTTGTGTTATAGATCTATTCAGGTGATTAATTTCCTCTTGGTTCAGTTTTGGATGATCATATGTATCTAGAAATCTGTCCATTTCTTTAAGATTTTTGAATTTATTTGAATATAGGTTCTCAAAGTAGTCTCTGATGATTTCCTGGACTTCCATGGTGTTTGTTGTTATCTCCCCTTTTGCATTCCTGATTCTACTAATTTGGGTTTTTTCTCTCCTCATTTTAGTCAGGTTTGCCAGGGGTCTATCGATCTTGTTTATTTTTTCAAAGAACCAACTTTTTGTTTCATTAATTCTTTGTATGTTTTTTTGGTTTCTATTTCATTGATTTCAGCTCTTATTTTTATTATTTCTCTCCTTCTATTTTTCTTGGGATTTGCTTGTTCTTGTTTTTCTAGGAGTTTGAGATGTATCATTAGGTCATTGATTTGGGATCTTTCAGTCTTTTTAATATATGCACTCATGGCTATAAACTTTCCTCTCAGGACTGCCTTTGCTGTGTCCCATAGGTTCCGGTAGGTTGTGTTTTCATTTTCATTGACTTCCAGGAACTTTTTAATTTCCTCTTTTATTTCATCAATGACCCATTGTTCATTAAGTAATGAGTTATTTAGTTTCCAGCTGTTTGCATGTTTTTTGTCTTTACTTTTGTTGTTGAGTTCTATTTTTACTGCATTATGATCAGATAGTATGCACGATATAATTTCTATTTTCTTGTAATTGCTGAGGTTTGCTTTGTGCCCTAGGATATGATCTGTTTTGGAGAAGGTTCCATGGGCTGCTGAGAAGAATGTATATTGTGTAGAAGTTGGATGAAATGTTCTGTAGACATCAAGTAGGTCCATTTGATCTATTGTGTAATTTATTTTATTTTCACTGGGCAATAAATATTTTAATTTGTTTCATTTTTATGATGACAAATAATCTTCAAGTTTATTTCCTCTTCATTTGTTTGCTTAAATACAAAGCTAAACCACAAACAGGTACAACCAAGACATTTCATTTTACATTTACACACTCCTGTGGATCCTCCTCCAACTCGCTGACCACTGAACAGGCTAGCGGGGCAGGGGGAAGACTTAGGTAGCACCATCGTGAGTCCCAGGGTGGGGTGAGGGAGGACCAAGGAGAAGAGCCTTTCCTTATACCTGTCGTTTACATTTACCTGGACCAGGTGGGCAGGATCTCAGGTTCCAGCTCCTGAGCCCTGAACTCCCTAGGGACGGAGTAGGAAGCCACCTTCTCCTGTCTATCGCACTGTAGGTGAAAACTTGAGGCTCCTCCTTGTTTCCTGGCTTCCTGACCTTGCTGGCACCCAGCACACCTTTTGACTTCCTGAGGCTTGCCATGGTCACTAGGGTAGGGGTCCTGGGCTCGCAGGCTCACACTACAGTTCATGGCTGCATCTTCACCGGAAGGACACCTGATGGTCTGATACACTGCAGACCTTGGCGTCAGGGCAGGTGAGTGGGGGTATCTGTAAGTAATTTCTGGTCCCACTACAAAACTTTATTTTTGATTAGAATAGAGTACCATCTCAAATCTCCTCTACAAAAACTAAAAGCCCAAAATAAAGCAAAACAACGCAGCCACTTCACTCACTTCAAGACCTATATACATGTAAGTTGTTTTCTGTGGTTTTTTTTTCTTTCTTTTCTTTTTTTGTTTGCTTTTTATTTATTTTTTTAAATAAATTCAGTGTTCACATTTCTATAAAGAATTAACTCAGTTTCTGGAGGCCTGCCCCCGCAGGTGGGAAGCAGTGCTCTTCCCGGCCCTATGGCTCCTACCCACCTGAAGTGGCCTGTGGAAGAAGTGTGCACTTGGCAGGCACGGCCAGAGTCAGTAAGATTTCAGAAGCAGAGAGAAGACTAGCTTACTGCAAACCCTTTAAAACATTCATGCACGTCAGCGTGCGCCTGTCGAGACAGAGGAGAACAAGAGCTTGGAGACGTCCAGCCAGGCCCGACGTGCATGGGGCGATGCCCTCGCAGCCACCTGACCTTGGACATCAGTGTGGGCAGTCCTGGCACAGACTCACCTGGCCTCCTAGTTCATGGTGACCCTTCTTCTAAAACCTGTGCCGAGTCTTGGACTGCATGCACGGGAAGCATGAACCTTTGGCTTGTATGCAAAAAAGATACAAAAACAACTAGAATATAAAAGTTTTGGTACTATAGGCCATCTGTTCAAGTCCACCTTGGAAACCTGTTACAGATATTTAAATACTACAGTGAAATGGCATCTTAATATGCTTCATAAAAACGTTTGAAGTGATCTGCTAAGAGGAAGTGTGTAAAAAATCATTCCCTCTGAGAGCACTTTGTCCTTTGCAGGGGTGGCGGCCTGCCGGCCACCGTTAATGCTTCAGCCATGGGTAGGCTTTGATGGAGGCCTTGCTGCGGTCACTGTAGTCATACAAACACTCCTCCCCAGTGGCGATGTCTCGGGAGGCGATGAGGATGAGGTGAGGCACTCCGTCGATGTCATGTAGTTTGGTTTGGCAGTTCCCACACTTGCTGTGATTGATCAGCCTCCCCAGGTGGTTTGTCTTATGAGTGGCATCCATGCAGTAGGTCTTGCTCAGATACTGAAAATAGTACATGTAGCAGCCCATGGAGGGGTCCTGTGCGTACAGAGCCTCTTGCTCCTTGGCGTCAGTGATCTCGATGAGGTCCCCGTGATATTCCACCACAAAATCACCCCAGGAGAACTGCTTGGTGGCAATCACACCCCTGCCTTTGCCATCGATTAAGTCAATCTTCATGCCTTCTTCCTTCCCGCTTTCAATCAACTCATCTATTTTTTTCCTTTCTTCATACTGCAGCTCAGCTTTGGTCTTCCTGGAGCTCCTTTGGACTGGGTAGAAATCTGTGATTTTGCGATTCTGTTGCGTTTTCCCTTGAGCTTTTTCCCGAGGGGCCTGTTTGCCCCTGAGGGGTTTTTTCAGGGCTTACTTGGCGCCCACTGTATTGGTAGAATCACATGATGAGGGTGGAGATTTTGGAGGTTCTGCTGCTTCGGATTTTTGGTTTGGAAAAGGTGCCAGGGGACCTCTCCTGGTGTCTTTGACCTTCTGTTCCTCAGACTTCAGGGTGCTTTGTATTGTGTTCCCGGCATTCCTTTTCTCTTCTCATTTCCTGTAGATCCCAGCTAATGGTTTCCCTTGACATTTGACTTTGTGGTGTGCATCTGAATTCTCTTCCTGAAGGGGGAACGCATTCCAGAGCATTTGTTCGGGCTCATGAAGGAATAGATCTTTGACTGCCCAGCAAACACGTTCTCCTGCAGCCCGGCCAGGCCCATGGTGGCCTGCCTGGCGCCCTCGCCCTCACCGTGGCCCGGCCACCAGCGTTGCCGCTGCCGCTGCTGCTGCTGTTGCCACCGCCACCAGCGCCCCATGGTGCCCCCTTCCCCCATGGCCTGCGAGCAGGGCCGCGGCAGCCCCGCGCCTCCCTGAGAGAGGGATGCAGGGAGGGAGGCGCCTATTGTGTATTTTAGATCTTGGATTTCTTTATTGATTTTTTGTTTGGATGACCTATCTATTGATGATAATGGGGTGTTAAAGTCTCCCACAACCACTGTGTTGGAGTTAATATATGCTTTTATGTCTTTCAGGATATGTTTGATGTAATTGGCTGCATTGACATTGGGTGCATACAGGTTGATGATTATTTCCTTTTGGTCTATTTCCCCTTTTATTAGTATGGAATGTCCTTCTTTATCTCATTTGATCAATGTAGGTTTGAAGTCTATTTTGTCAGAGATAAGTCTTGCTAACCCTGCCTGTTTTTGGGGGCCATTGGCTTGGTAAATCTTCTTCCAGCCTTTCATCCTAAGCCTATGTTTATTTCTGTTGGTGAGATGGGTCTCCTGTAAGCAACAAATTGTTGGATCTTCCTTTTTAATCCATTTCATCAAGTGGTGCCTTTTGATGGGTGAAGTAAGTCCGTTAACATTAAGTGTTAGTACTGATAGGTATGTGGTGATTCCTGTCATTTAGTTGTCTTAGTTGTTTGAAGGTTTGATTGTGTGTACCTAAGTTGAGGTCACTCTCTACTTTCTTGCTTTTTCTTTTCCTGTAGTTTCGTGCTGCCTGTCCTTTCATGGTTATGTTGGGTTTCACTTTCTGTGTGCAGAATCCCTTGAAGAATCTTTTGTAGTGGTGGCTTTGTGGTCACATATGGTTTTAATTTCTGCTTATCATGGAAGACTTTTATTGCTCCATCTATTTTGAATGCTAGTTTTGCTGGGTAGAGTATCCTAGGGTTGAAGTTATTTTCATTCAGTACCTAGAAGATCTCACCTCACGCTCTTCTTGCTTTTAATGTTTCTGTTGAGAAGTCTGCTGTGATTTTGATGGGTTTACCTTTGTATGTTACTTGTTTTTTCTCTCTTACAGCCTTCAATATTCTTTTCCTAGTTTCTGAACTTGTTGTTTTAATGATGATATGTCGTGGGGTAGTTCTATTTTGATCTGATCTGTTTGGTGTCCTGGAGGCCTCTTGCGTCTGTATGGGACTATCTTTCTCTAGATTTGGGAAATTTTGTTGAATATATTACGCATTCCCTTTGCTTGTACCTCTTCTCCTTCTTTGATGCCCATGATTCTCAAGTTTGGTCTTTTGATGGAGTCAGTGAGTTCTTGCATTTTCTTTTCACAGGTCTTGAGTTGTTTAATTAATAGTTCTTCGGTTTTTCCTTTAATTACCATTTCATCTTCAAGTTCTGAGATTCTGTCTTCTGTTTGTTCTATTCTGCTGGATTGGCCTTCCGTTTTGTTTTGCAATTCTGTTTCATTCTTTTTTCTGAGGTTTTCCATATCCTGGGTCATTTCCTCTTTAATGTTGTCTATTTTTGTCCTGAGTTCATTTATCTCTTTATTAATCGTGTTCTCTGTTTCACTTTGGTGTTTATACAGTGCTTCTATGGTTTCCTTTATTTCTTCTTTTGCTTTTTCAAATTCTCTATTTTTGTTGCCTTGGAATTTCTTGAGTGTCTCCTGTACATTTTGCTTGACCCTATCCAGTATCATCTCTATAAAATTCTCATTGAGTACCTGTAGTATGTCTTCTTTTAAATTATTCTTGAGGGCTTCATTGGGTTCTTTGGCATAGTTTATCTTCATTTTGTTGGAGTCTGGATCTGAGTATCTGTTTTCTTCATTTCCCTCTGGTTCCTGTACTAATTTTTTGCTGTGGGGAAACTGGTTTCCCTATTTTTTCTGTCTTCCCGTCATTGCCCTTGGTGTTGTTATTGTCCCTGTACTGTGTGCAATTAAGTATTTTCTGGCTTGTAATAATAGCACTAGTGATATTTAGAATGGAACAGTGAGAGGGGATAGAAAGCAAAGAAGTTAGAGGAAAAGGGAAAAACAAGTAATCAAGTAAAAAACAACAAAACAAACAAACAAAAAAAAGTTTCAAAAGTTTCTCAACAGGGAGAGACAGTGTACTAATCAACCGTAAGCTGAAAAGGCATTAGAGAGACAGAGAGAGGATTGAAAATAAAAAATAAAAAGAATAAAGATAAGAATAAAAATAAAAAATAAGTAAATGAAAGAAAAAATATATAAACAAAATAAAGTAAAACAAAATAAAAAATAAAAAAAAAAATTAAAAAAAAAAACCAAAACCTCAAGTTCAAATGCAATGAAGTTTCAGTCTTAATAATTTTGGTGTTCGTCCCTCAGCCTCCAGTCCTGGAGATGGTGCCTCAGATGTTGTTCTGTAGTTGTCTCATCAAAGGGGAAACATAAAGTAGAACAAAACCACACAAAACAAAAACAACAACAATAACAAAAAACCGACAAAGTGTTCCAAGTTCAAATGCAATACAGTTTCGTAAGTTTTTCAGCATGCGGGTGTTGTTCAGTTGTTTTTTCATCAAAGGTAGGGAGAGAAAAAAAAGAGTCTGGAGACAGTTCTGTGAATGGCTATCTGAGGCTGTGGCTTGCCTGCCCGCTGCTGTCAGCCTGCTGTTGCTGGCGGTGTTATTTATGCAGATCTCTGGAGTGAGCTTAACACTCACCTGGCCACACAGGCTTTGTTTACTCAGAGTTCTCCTGGGCATGATGCCTCTGCTACAAGCTTTCCCTTTTCCAAGCACACTTGGGGAGGTGACACTGCAGCTTTCTCAGGCCAGCGTGTTTATTTACAGCTCACATGGGAAGTGGGTCTTCCCCCCTCTCCTGTGGAGTTTTCCTCTCTCTGCCACTCTCACAAGCTTTCCAGCTCCTGGTTGCTGGGCGCGCGCCCCCAATCTCGCCCTCTCTGGCCAGGCCCAGGTTGTTTATTTACAGTTCTGGGAGGAATTCCCCTCCCTGCCTCTTCAGCACTCAGGGTGCCCTACCCTCTTTCCCACATGTCTTTATTGTTCTTATTGCTTATTACTCGGTTTCTCATTTTTCTCTAGGTTGGGGTCGGTCTGTCCAGGGGGCTATGCTGATCTGGCCCAGGGTTGTCTGAGGAAGTACCACATACCACTTAGTTCACCTTGTCCACATCTTCCCAAGCCGTCTGGGCATGGGCGTCTGGCGGCCCCGGGGCCCTCCTGGTTTCTCCATTTAATGTGAAGTAGAGATTCTCTGAGCAGGCTGTAGGTGTGGAGGGGTCAAAGTTTTGCCTCTTCTCAGTGGCCTTGCCTGCACAGTGTGTCTCCAGTGTCTCTCCAAGATTTCACTTTAGGAGGCATGCTTTCTGCTTCCTCCCTCTAGCTGCCATCTTGGAATCCCCCTTGTGGCCTCCCTTTGGTAGTTTTAATTGAGATTTTATATTTCTGTTTTCTTTGCTTTCTCAGCATGTCAGTTATACTTTGTTTAGTGATCACTGTAGAGTTTGCAATATACATCTACAACAAATCCAGGTTCACTTTCAAATAACTCTATACTACTTCATTGACACTCCAAATATTTTATAATAGCAACATTCCTATTTCCTTTTCTTGTATCATTGTTGTTATTCATTTCACTTCCATATATGCTATAATTATCAGATATATTGTTACTATTATTATATTAAACAGTTACCTGTTAGATCAATTTAAGAATAAAAAAGTGGTTTTAATTTTATCTTCATTTAGTTGTTCTCTACTGCTGTTCTTTTCTTCATACAGACCAGAATTTCTTACCTGAATTGTTTTTTCTTTCTCTGAAGAACTTCTTTTAGTTTATTGCCCCCCACTTTTTTTTCTTTTTGGTGATGGTACTGGGTTTTGAACTCAGGGCTCCACACTTGCAAAGTGAGCACTCTACTGCCTGAGCTATGCCTCCATTCCTCTGAAGAACTTTTAACATTTCTTGTAAAGTAGGTCTACTGACAACAAATTCGCTCAATTTTGGCCTGAGAAAGTTTTCATTTCTCTTTCACTTTTGAAAAACAATTTCACAGGACACAGAATTGTGGGCTATTTTTTTCTGCTCTCTTTTTTAACCCTTTCTACATTTCACTCTTCTCTTTTTGCTTGCATGTCTTTTGAGGAGAAGTTAGATGTTAGATGTAAGGGTTTTTCCCCCCTCTTGTTTCTTTTTCAGTTTGAATATGATATGATGGGGCCTAGTTTTTTTGGGGGTCATTTATTCTGCTTGGTAGTCTCTGAACTTCCTGGATCTGTCACTTTGTGACTGACAGTAATCTGGGGGGAAGTTTTAGTTATTATTCCTTTAACTATTTCTTCTGATCCTTTCTCATTTTTCTTCTTCTGGAAAAGAAAATACTCTTCTTCATATGTTCTGACTATTCTTAATGTTCAAAATATTCCACATTACAACTTGTATACTTGTACCACTGTTCTTGTATATTCAGTTCCATTCACCATCCCCAAGTCTATAATCTCTTTGCTTTTCAGTTTTGAAAGTTTTTGTTGCTATATCCTCATGCTCAGAGATTTTTTTCTCTTAGTCGTGTCTAGTCACTAATAAGCCCATTAAAGGCAATGTTCATTTTTTGATCTCTAACTATTTTTTATGCTTTCTTTTGTTAATTCAGACTGGGAGTTGAACTCAGGGCTTCATGTTTGCTAAGCAGATGCTCTACCACTTGAGCCCTTTTGCTATGGTTATTTTAGAGATGGGCTCTAAAATATTTTGACCAGGTTGGTCTGGACCATGATCCTTCTATTTTATACTTCCCACCATTGCTGGGATGACAGGTGTGTACCCAGCTTTTTACCATCTTGATGGAGTCTCGTAAACTTTTTTCCCTCCAGTCTAGCCTGCAACATCAATCCTGATCTCAACTTCCCATATAATGGGGATGACAGGAGTGAGCTATAGTGCCCTGCTGTCTGTTGAGATGGGGTCTCATGTACATTTTGCCAAAGCT